GGCAGGGTGCTTAGTCTGCAGTAAACAGCAAGCAGGGAGGGGAGGAACAAACAGGTCAGCAGGCCTAGTCCTCATGAACAGTAGACGATAAAAGGGAATGGGTGAGTATGGACACGAGGGCAAAAGGCAATGCTCCTCTGACATCGTCTAAAAGAGCTCAATGTCCCAAAAGATGTGCAGCCTGATTTCTTACACTCCACATTGCCCTCACCGTCTACCTTCTGTGGACCAATGCCTGTCAAGCTGCAGCCGTAAGTGAGGGAGCAGTAGACTGCCCATATGCCAGACCACGGCAGGACAGGGGCTAGAAGACCAGATCTGTGCTGCACTGATTGCCCCTCGGGCACCTTCTCTGACTACCACAGAAAACCACTGACACATCACAATAATCAAAAGGAGCTTCTAGGTGGCTTGGGGTGCTAAAATCTAAGTTCTCGGATAATTATAAAACTGTATGATTTTGATACCTAAGCAACAAGGAAAACACAAGCAAGACTGAATTTTTTGAAAAAGAGAATAAAGTGACCACTACCTTGACCCCTTGGAGTTAGGACACCATTCTCTTCCCCCTAACTTGTCCTGTGAGTCTGCTCTCCTGCCCTGTCCTCGAAGCCAGCAGCGAAGCATCACAAGGCAGGTTACTTGGATAGTGGCTGCCAGCCACACCAGATGTCAACTCAGTCCTGAAATGAGGTGACGGCCCTGCATTGGCACCTCGTAGAGCTCTCTAGATGATTTCAATGCCCGGGAACCACTGCCCAAGAACAGTCTACAAAGCAAAGGAATTTAAGGAAACTGCAATCAATTGCAAATTTTCCTTTTTTTGTTGTTGTTGTTTTTTTGTTTTTTGTTTTTTGAGACAGGGTTTTGCTGTAGTTTTTAGAGCATGTCCTGCAATCAGCTCTTGTAGACCAGGCTGGTCTCGAACTCAGAGATCCACTTGCCGCGGCCTCCTAAATGCTGGGATTAAAGGCGTGTGCCACCATCACCCAGCTTTCAATTGCAAATTTTCTTGGGACTTCCTATCTACCACTGGTAGAAGGCAGGATTGAGAACAGGAAAGATGAAGATCTTACATTGCATAAAGTCACAAGGCCCATCCGTAACAATTTCAGAATCTCTAAAAAGCCAAACATTTCTTTCCATTACAGGAACCTGTTCTCTTAAAAATCCGTCCGGGCATTAGAAACACAGATCACTTTATGCAAGACGTGGTGACTAAAGCTTGGAAAGCAGGAGATCACTTCAAGGTCACCCTTAGCCGTTTAGAGTTCAAGGTCAACCCCCCGAGGCCAGATTTCAAATACTCACCCCGCCCCCCCATCTCTCTCTTTCCTACCTAGCACAAACAGCTGTCTGCTTTACTATTACATTACCAAGACAACAATTCTCAGAGGGAAAGTCAGGCTGGACCACGGACAGCTTGAAATACTGAAGAATTGCCAAACCTAAGGTCTTTATTTTTTAACTGTAAAACGAAGACAAAAACCGCAAAGCACTCCATACTGTTGTGACAATTAAGGTAGAATGGGAACGCACTTAGGAGGAGCTGGCACACAGGCAGCACTCTGCAAACAACCTTTAATTAAATGGCTGGTTTCCAGGGAGGAGCCTACCTTCTAAGTCATCCCCACACCTTTCCTGTAAGCCTGACCTGCCGCAGGCTCTGCTACCAGTCAGTCAGCAGACAGAGCAAGAAGAAACCCTGGAGCAAGCATGGCAGGATTAGAATGCCAGATCTAGCCAGAACTTCCTAATCAGCAGGTCTTAGGTCTCTCACAGCTCATCGTAGGGTTTCTGAGTCTTCGTCTACCACAGGGATGGCAGTACTAATATCTAATTCAGAAGAGATTCAGTACCAGGATTAAAACTGAAAAGCATTCGGAATGGAATTCGGTATCTAAGTAATCATTCCTCATATTCGCTTTTTTTGTTTGTTTGTGTGTTTTATTTTGTTTTTTTCGAGACAGGATTTCTCTGTGTAGTTTGGGGCCTGTCTTGGAACTTGCTCTAGACCAGGCTGTCCTCGAACTCGGAGATCCGCCTTCCTCTGCCTCCCGAGTATTGGGATTAAAAGCTCACTGCTATTTTTCAAGCACATGCTATTTCCTGGGTGTAGCATAAACCTAGGTTCTCATTATGTTGACATGCTGCTGACAGTGGGATGGACCTTTCCTATTGCCTATTTATTCATCCTGGGACACAGCTACACTTCTGAGACGTCTCCCTTCAGATCCATTGAAACCCCTTCTGTGGGGCGGCTCTCTAACATGAGTTTAGTTTCCTTTTGATGCCAAAGTCCAGTTCATTGGCAACATAGGAAAGACCAGGGTACGCAATTACAAATTAACCAATGATCACAGCAACAGCATATTTAAAGCTGGGAGAATCAACAGCACAAACCTTAGCCCTCCAGAGCACTGTTTTTGTTGTTGGTTTAATTGATGCTTTCATTTTATCATTGAATCCCTTTCTTTTGGTTCTAGGCTGATTTAAGTCCAGCAATGTAGCCCATGTCTGAGTTTACACCAGAGCGTCTCTGATGGCTTACACCTGAATTCCATCATCCTTGCTGCATAAACTTAGTGCTAAGAGATAACCTCAAAACACTGGTAGTTCCTGATCATTATTTCATTTAAAAACAATCAACTCTATGACTGTTGAGTAGTGAGTGGATAGGAAAAGACAAAATAAAAAGATACAAGGAAAATGAATGACTATGTATGAATAACTACCAAGAACCAGCAAACTAAAAAGATGTTAGGAAATAGACAGTTGTGGCTAAGTCTTTCCCGTCAATTTACTTAAATGTTACAGTGGTTCACTATAGCAAACGTAGCAGGCATGGAAATCTCACAGGTGTGTTCTCAAGCTCACAGGCCAGCTTTGTGATACTCCACTGGGGTAGACTTTTCTCCTTCAAGGGTTCCCCAGTCCTTTCCAGGCATGTCAGGTTTACCCCTAGATGAAAGTTTCTCCAAAGATAACAAAAGAAAACAGCCCTGACTGTGCTAGAACACATTTTGTTGACAAAGGGGGGGGGGGCCTCTACCCCATAAAGCTGGGACTACAGATGTGGGCTGCCATGCCCAGCGCCACCTTACTTCTTACTTATTCTGGCTTTCTCATCCACTCACATGGCTTTGCTATGTCCTATTGGACATGCCTATGTTAGCCATCAGAACTGAGCAAAGGTGACTTTCAGGGAATAAATAACAAAGAGCACAGGTTCCCAAACAATACTGGTGAAAGAACTGTTTCATTTTCCCTGTCTTTCACGACTTCATAAAAGCCAACTGTCCTATTTTTTTTTTTTTAAGATCAGACTGACCGTAAACTCAGATCCGCCTCTACCTGTGCCTCTGAGGACTCGAACTAAAGGCATGCACCACCATGCCTGCCTCCAAATGTTATTTTCTTGTTAACGGCTTACTAAGAAAAACTAAAAAGTTAAGCCTGGGGGGGGGGGGGGGGGATAGAAAGGGAGGAAAAATACATATAGCTCAATAAAAACAATTTTTTAAAAAAAGTTGAGCCTGCCTCATTACTTAAATCACTTCATATTTGCCAAGTCTTACATTCCATTTCTACGCATGTGCCTCAATTTGGTGCCCACCATTACTATCCCCAAATAAAGCAACACTTTTAATTCCTCCGCAGATATATAAATGACAAGTAGGTATTTATTCCAGAGAACCCATTCACCCCAGTCGTTGCATCCTACCATCATAAAGAGTTAATGCAAAGGGTTATTGTCTTGAAAGACCTAATATAGCTTCCAAAATAATTCAGGCACCCTCGTGCTCATTCAGACACACACCCAAACACACCCAGCGCACACTCGTGAGGGTTACACCCCCAGTAGTTACAGAGAAAGGCCACTTAAGGCACCCAGTCTACAAATAAGAAGCCTGCGAATTTGGGGAGCATGGAGAGACTCTAGTCACACTACAGCACTTAAATATATTTGTCTGCTTACAATTTCCATTGCAAATGTGATTAGTTTGCTTGAATAAATAAGAATATGATGTGTTGGCCATGTTTTCCTCTTGAGGGTTATCACAGAGTTTTGATTAAGGACAAATGTTTGAAATGTTGGGTTTATTTAAGTTCACTGCACTTAAGATGATCTAAGAAGTTGTATAGGCTTGATTAAAGGGTTGCCTTCGTGAACTTAAAATTAAAAGCAATAAATTCCAATGATTCGAGTGATTGGGATTGAATATGGTATTCTGCCAGAAAAGTTGGAATGCAGTCCAGAGAGGCTGAAATGGTGTGCAGGTTTGAAGAACCGGTGAAAGAGGAAAGGTCAATTTGTCGGAGCTGCCTTCTCCCTGGGTTCCTGAACGATTCACATTACATAGAATCTCTTTTAAGTGGAACTTCACAGGAGTGACAAGCTCCCAGGACAATCTGTTTTGTCATTTCCAAAAAGAAGCCTCTCCGAGGCTCGGAGGCTGGCTTGTAAGTGTTGTCAGATGGAGAGAGGGAGGGGAAGGGTGGGGGATGGGGAAGGGTCCCAGGGCTAGCTAGCTACACGCGCAGGCCAAGTACTTTCCAAAACGGAAGTCAAGGTGACTTCCCTACCGGCGCGAGGGCGGAACCCTTGAAACGTAATAGGATCAGGCTTCAGCCCCAGCTGGGGCCCCTGGAAGGAGAAACCCGGGTCAACAACAGACGGGTCAGAAGCAGGAGAACCCCGCGGTGGCGGAGGGGTCTGTGTAACCCTGGGCTCGCTCTTGTCCCAGGCCACCTGGCCCCATCCGCGCGCGCACTCCTCCTGGCTGGCCCGGGCTCCGTCCCGCGGGACCTTGCTGGTGACCGAGCCAAGTGGGAGTGTCCGGCTGGCAAAAGTTTCTGCAGCACGACCAGGCCGCGGTACGCACGCGGCCACAAGTGCGGTCCCCTGTGCCCTCCCTCAGCTGCAAGGTGGAACCCGCATCCAGTCCCCCCGCTGCACCCTGCTAGGCGCCAGGTCGCCCCTGCCTGCCTTGCCTTACCTTGGCGGCCGCCATGCTTTGGCCCTGGTGCAGGCGGCTTTGGGACCCGCTCTCCGGTTGGCTTGCACTGGGGACCCCGGCGACTCACTTCCCGTCCCGGCTGAGGTGGGGGCGGCGATTCGGCCCGGCGGCGTAGGCTCCCGGCCTGCCTCCCCACGCCCCCCCCCCCGGCGCGGGTCATGCGGGTGCCGCCAGCCCATTGGCTGGGCCGGGCCAGGGCTTCCCGGTCCCGCGTGATCTAAAGGCCTCTGCCCTGAAGCCAGGGAGGGCCCTAATCTGGGAACTGCTGAGGGACCAGGACACGTGACACACCCTGCTATCCAGCTTTAGCAGCCACCTTGGTGGGTACCCAAGGGCCATGGAGAAAGGCAAGTCACCCGAAGACAGGTAACCTGATGAGGGACCCTTCTGCTTGGGCTGGAGCCAAGGGCTAGCCCTGGGCCTATGAGAAAGCCAAGTGAAGGTGGTTGGCACACAACACCTAGAAGCAGACACACATACACTCACATACACCTAGCTGGGGCAGGTTCTTGCCAGGATCACATTGGTTTTTGCTCCCAGAAGGACCCCACCGCAATGCCATCATGAATCCCCAAAGAACTAATAGAAGAGAAGATTTACAGCTGGCCAACCTACTTTGACGATCTAACTTGATAAACTGGGATATAGTATAGAACACACGTTTGTAGAGCTATTTTGCATCAACTGTATATTAGGACAAAAGACGTTCTGGGTTAGTGAGATGCCCAGCATGTGTTAGCTTTCACGTAGTCTACTAAGGTAATAGCTTGCTCCCAGGACACCCTAAGAACAATGAAGACTGGACAGTTTCTCAGAGACGATTCCTGAGGTCAGTATGTCAGTCCAGTGGGTTGATAGCAAGCGATGTCCCAACCACACAGAATAAGGGGAGACGGGAGGCCCAAGTGTTTGGTCAGAGAAGGCAACTTGGATTTAGAGACTGCTGGAGGAAGAGTCTGGCTGACAAGGAGCTGTGTTGTAGGGGGTCTTGGGTAGCCTACTGAAGAAGGTATACCATCTGAGGGCTTTTAAGGCCAGAAGCAGCATATCCAAGTTCCACACTGTTGCCTGAGTGTATCCCAGATTCACAAATTAGAAACTAAGTCGCCAGTGTATCTGCTCCAGTCCTAAGGGTTCCGCCCTAATGTATGTACCAATGCCTTCATATAAAGGCCTTGCAACCCTTGCTTTCCAAACACCAGGGGGGTGGGAGCAAGTGGACCAAGAGTGCCAGGCCAGCCTAAACTGTATAGGAGACTGTGTCAAAAAAGAAAGAGAAAAGAAACAGGGGGCTGGGGGAGGTGGTTTAGTGGTTAAGATCACTGGCTGCTCTTCCAGAGGACCTGGGTTCGAGTCCTAGCCCCCACATGGTGGTCCACAACCATCTGCAGCTCCACTTCCAGGGGATCTGAAACCATCTTCTGACCTCCATGGGCACCAAGCATTCATGTGTACACACTCATAGATGCAGGCTAAGCACTCATATGTAAAAATAAATTGAAGAAACTCAAATTTAAAAAAGGAAACAGGCTCGTAGAAGTAAGTTTACTGGTTGTCTTCTACCTTTTGAGGCCATAGCTTTCCTGTCCCTGGAAGATAGAGTACTCGGGGAGCCATCTTGGAAACAGAGAGACAAGGTCCTACCTTCTCAGCCACCTCAACTAAGAGGAAGAAGTTTTGGGAGTTTTCTGTTTGTTTGTTTGTTGTTTTAGAGACAGGGATTCTCTGAATAACAGTTCTGGTTGCCCAGAGCAGGCTAACCTTGAACTGCCTCCCCAGTGCTGGGAGTAAGGCCTGTGGGAAGGAATACATTTTATCCTTAGTCTCAGGTACTGTGTGGTAGCAACATGAAGCAGGCTGACAACCTGTTTGATATATGGAGGGTGGGTCAGTACTCAACTACCAGAATATTCCAACAGTATGGGTTAGAATGGGATAGGACGAGCAGAACATGGTGCACAACAAGAGTGGGGCTCAATGACTGACAGCGTGAGGGATTATAGGTCCGGGACTGCGCAGTGTGGAGGCCTGGAAAGATACCCAAGATGAGTAATACCGAAGGAGGAATTTGGAGAGGCCTGTCTACTCGAGTGCGCATTTGCAGCATGCAGACCATGGTCCAGAAGAAGCCCATGAAAGAAGCATTATTTGCCTTTCCAGGGTCTCGGGGAGTGTCTGCGCCTCCAGAGTCAGCATGTATCTCATTCTCTCTAACCCTGCTTCTCGAGTGTGGCCTCGTGGCTGTCTGCAACCCCTCTGCCGCCCATTTCAGAAAGCACGGTGGCAGACATCTATAAGCCTAACCCAGCGCTTGGATAGTAGAAGCAGAAGTATGTGAGGTTCAAGGCTTCCTGGGATATATGAGATCTTGCCTCAAACAAACAAACATGAAAAAACATTGTGAATTGCATTTAACCTTTAGGGACCACTCTGAGAATCTACGTTCTCTCTCCACCTCCAATCCTCCATCACATTTGGGAAGTTTCTGACATATAAAAGAATATTATCAAAACTAAAAAAAAAAAAATAAAAATAAAGCCGGGCGGTGGTGGCGCAGGACTTTAATCCCAGCACTTGGGAGGCAGAGGCAGGCGGATCTCTGGGAGTTTGAGGCCAGCCTGGTCTAAACAGCTAGTTCCAGGACAGGTTCCAAAACCACAGAGAAACCCTGTCTCGAAAAACTAAAAAAAAAAAAAAAAGAATATTATCAATAGGTCCCTGGATATGGACATTTTTTAACCCACTAAATACATCATATTGTATTTTGTTTTGTTTTGTTTTTCGAGACAGGATTTCTCTGTGGCTTTGGAGCCTGTCCTGGAACTAGCTCTGTAGACCAGGCTGGTCTCGAACTCACAGAGATCCGCCTGCCTCTGCCTCCCGAGTGCTGGGAAACACATCATATTGTAAAAATAGACTATAAACATGTGTTTCCGTCATTTCAGTTGACACGTAAGATCATTCTCATTTAGAAGTTGCTGACAAGGTTGAACTATGAACACAGGATTCCGAACCCCAGTGTCTCAGGTTGGGCTGTTCTTTGGAAACTGAAGATATAATATGTTAGGATGAGGTCCCACTCGTATATGAAGGACCTTTAATGTGCTATGGCTAGTGCTGTTGTAAAGTGACACGGGTCAGGCATGGTGGGTCATGCTATAGATCTCAGCACTCTGCAGGCGGAATCTAGCCTAATCCAGTTCCGGCCAGCCAGGAACAGACAACAAAGAAGACACTGAAACACCACGTGACTATTTCATACAATAAAAGTAGAGATTGCAGTGGTGGAGCTGCGAACCGAGGAGGAGTGGAATCGAACCCGCACATTTCAAGGGTCCTCTGCCTCACAAGGACTAGGAAGCACAGCCTTACTTGGTTTGGGACTTTCACCCACCAGAAATGTGAAGGAACAAATTTCTGTTGTTCCAAGCCGCATATTTTATGGTATTTTGTTCTGACAGCCCTCAGGAACTAACAGGTCTCCTAACCACCTGTACTTTAGAGCACATTTTGCCAACCTTGCTGGTTGGGAAAGCAGCCAACCCAAATCTCGGGGAAAGCTGACTGACTCAGAGGCTACAGTGTGAGCAGGAACACACGTTCACGAGAAGCAGCGACGTGGCCAGGTCGGAGCTTTCGACGTTCCCAGAGCACCTAGGCCTTGTAATGCCCTTTGACCCTGCCCTTCAACCATCCGATTAGTTCTGCTCGGTTAATCACAAACAAGCAAACAAAAGCCACCCCTGCCACTGCCACCCTGCCCAATTGGATCGCTAAAAAAGAGACTCAGCCAGAAGGCAAGCCAAACACGTCAGCCACGGGAGGTCTGAGCCACGTGACTGCAGAGTGCAAGGTGCGTTGTACCCGTGTGACAGAATAGAACGAAGCCTGTAAGAGAAGCTCCCAGGAGTTGATGACCGGCACTGGGGCCATTTCAGGACACAGAGGACTGTTGCACATGTCTTCCCTAAGAGTGGGCTAGAGATGGGTCAAAAATAATCTAGACACAAATAAGAAAACTGGGTCAACACTTTTAGAGTTAGGAAGGAAGCGAGGAAGTGAGTCAGGAGGAAGCATGAGACACCATGGGAAAGTGTGACTGGAAACAAGAATCCAGAACGCCTGCTGTTATACTCTGTGAACCAGCTTTCTTGATGTCTTTGGTTTTTAGACAGGGTTGTCTATGTAGCCCTGACTGCCTTTATATAGACCAGGCTGGTCTCAACTCAGAGATCCACTTGCCTCCTGCTTGCTAGTGCTGGGACAAAGGACGTGAGTCACCGCGCAGGGCTTGAACAAGACTTTTGAAAGAAGTCCCTGTAAACAGAGAAAGGCTTTTGCCTTCTGGGGATCTTTTGAGAGAATTCATTTCCTTGGTAAAGTATCTAGAATCCACCCACATTCCCTGGGTCACGTGTTCCCTGTGCCTCAGACCAGCCTTTCTACTTCTTTTGTTTGTTTGCTTGCTTGCTTGTTTTTCAAAACAGAGTTTCTCTACGTACCCCTGCACATCCTGTAACTTCCTTTGTAGTCTTGGCTGTCCTCCAACTCACAGGAACCCGCCTGCCTCTGCTTCCCAAGTGCTGAGATTAAATGTGTGCGCCACCACCGTAAAGGTTTATGCCACCACCCTTTGACATCTTTGTAATTCTTTAAAGCCAGCAGCCTAGGGTCCAGTTCTATAGCACATCACTCTGATCTCATCTTTGGCCTCTCTTCATTTGATGCTTACAGCTACACTGTGATCCCCAGATAATCTAGGAGAGCCTCCCAGTGACAAGTTCAGTGACTGTTATAGTAGTTTACGAAAGCCACCAGGAGAAAACACCAGAGCTGGGCGTGGCGGTACACTCCTTTAACACAGCGGTCAAGGGGCAGAACTCCTGTGAGTTCAAGGTCAGCCAGGGCTCTGGAGCGAGACTCTGTGTCGGAAGAAAGGGAGAGGGCGTGAGGAAGAAAGGAGGGAGGGGGAACAGAGGGAGGAGGGGGGAAGAAAGGAAGGAATACATTAGAGATTTGCTGGCTTTAAGCATCAGCATTTATTTTCATGGAATTCTGAAATCAAGTTGTTGACAGAGTTGGTTCCTTCTGGGACCTCACTTTTTGATGACCAGAGCCATCTTCTTCCTATGTCTTCTCTC